TCCTCCCCGCGGGTCGATGAGGCGAAAAGGCAGGCTTTTTAGAGGGTTTTCGAATTTGCCGAGGAGGTTTTTTTCGAAAAACGGCTCTCGGGGGGGTATCCGGGCCCGTCACTCCGGAGGGACCTGGGCGAAGAAAGGGCCCGGGCCGAAAAGACAGGCGGGGGGGGGGCCTTTTTCGATGGGCCGGAGTCCGGCTCGACTGGAAATCGAGCCTTTCGAGTATCCGACCCCGTCACTTCGGCCCGCCCTTAGCGAAAATCCTCTCGAAAATCGACCCTGCTCAGGTCTTCGGGGTTGGGATGAGGGCTCCTCCCCGCGGGTCGAGGAGGCGAAAAGGCAGGCTTTTTGGAGGGTTTTCGAATTCGCCGAAGAGGTTTTTTCCCAAAAACGGCCCTCGAGGGGGCATCCGGGCCCGTCACTCCGGAGGGACCTGGGCGAAGAACGTGGCCCGGGCCGAAAAGACGGGCGGCGGGGGGGCCTTTTTCGACGGGCCGGGAACCGGCTCGAGTGGAAATCGAGCCTTTCGAGTATCCGACCCCGTCACTTCGGCCCGCCCTTAGCGAAAATCCTTTCGAAAATCGACCCCGGTCAGGTCCCCGGGGCCGGGATGAGGGCTCCTCCCCGCGGGTCGATGAGGCGAGGGGGTTTTCGAATTCGCCGAAGAGGGTTTTCGAATTCCCCGACGAGGTTTTTTTCGAAAAGCGGCTCTCGAGGGGGTATCCGGGCCCGTCACCCGGGAGGGACCTGGGCGAAGAACGTGGCCCGGGCCGAAAAGACAGGCGGGGGGGGCCTTTTTCGACGGGCCGGAATCCGGTTCGACTGGAAATCGAGCCTTTCGAGTATCCGACCCCGTCACTTCGGCCCGCCCTTAGCGAAAATCCTCTCGAAAATCGACCCCGGTCGGGTCCCCGGGGCCGGGATGAGGGCTCCTCCCCGCGGATCGATGAGGCGAAAAGGCAGGCTTTTTGGAGGTTTTTCGAATTCGCTGAAGAGGTTTTTTTCGAAAAACGGCTCTCGAGGGGGTATCCGGGCCCGTCACTCCGGAGGGACCTGGGCGAAGAACGTGGCCCGGGCCGAAAAGACGGGCGGGGGGGGGGCCTTTTTCGACGGGCCGGAATCCGGATAACTGCAAATCGAGCCTTTCGAGTATCCGACCCCGTCACTTCGGCCCGCCCTTAGCGAAAATCCTCTCGAAAATCGACCCCGGTCAGGTCCCCGGTACCGGGAGGAGGGCTCCTCCCCGCGGGTCGATGAGGCGAAAAGGCAGGCTTTTTGGAGGGTTTTCGAATTCGCCGAAGAGGTTTTTTTCGAAAAACGGCTCTCGACGGGGTATCCGGGCCCGTCACCCTGGAGAAACCTGGGCGAAGAACGTGGCCCGGGCCGAAAAGACAGGCGGGGGGGGGGGTCTTTTTCGACGGGCCGGAATCCGGCTCGACTGGAAATAGAGCCTTTCGAGTATCCGACCCCGTCACTTCGGCCCGCCCTTAGCGAAAATCCTCTCGAAAATCGACCCCGGTCAGGTCCCCGGGGCCGGGATGAGGGCTCCTCCCCGCGGGTCGATGAGGCGAAAAGGCAGGCTTTTTGGAGGGTTTTCGAATTCGCCGAAGACGTTTTTTTTCGAAAAACGGCTCTCGACGGGGTATCCGGGCCCATCGCCCTGGAGAAACCTTGGCGAAAAAAATCGACCCGGGGCGAAAAGGCAGGCTTTTGGGGATGCTTCGGAAGGGTCGGGATTTCGGTCCGATCGAAACTGTGTGCGGCGGATCCCCGGGTCCGGGATGTTACGTGACAGATTGGAGCGTTGGAGCGCGGTCTGCGTCACGTTCCCGTCGGCCGTGGTCGGCACCGATTTTCGATGACGGACCCGGCATTTCGACTTTCGCGCGTGACGGAAACCCAGCAAAAACACCTGCATTTCGAGCTTTCGGTTTTTCCGGAAAACGCGATTTTATTGAAAACTGATCGTTTTTTTTTTTTGGGGGGGCGGCCCGTTAATTGGACACGGTGCAGAATCACTGCTTCGTCACTCGTTTTCGGGTTTTCCGGTTTTCGGATTCGATGAAAAACACCTGCGTTTTGCTTGATCGGGAGCCCCCCGAAATCCGAAATCATTGGTTTTGAAATTGGAGCACGTGTTTGGTTGCGCGCGTGCGGGCGGGCGCCTGCCGGCATGCTCAGTTGGAAAGTTGGTTTAAGGATCCCTGGAAGTGATACCTGATCAATCTCTACCTGCAAGCAATGGCGGTGTCTCTTTGACGCCAACGTTGCCTAACCCCAGAGACAGGCCGACGCCGACTTCCTCACACTCTAGTTGCGGGTGTGTGTGCTCACCGGGGGCGGGCGTCTTCCTCAGCCTTGAATCCGAACGCTTCGTGCTACTAGGATGGCATCGACTTAACCAATTGGTTTCGTCTGGGAAGGCAGGCGGCGAGTTCTGAGGGGCTCGGCTCCGTCGTGTTTAGAGATCTCAAACAGGTTCCTATTTCGGGACTCCGAGCCAAGCTGAAAGCAGCCTGATTTCAGATCCGAAACCGAAGGCTTCATTTGGACCTCAGCCTCGTTTTCAGAGCTCAAACTGGATTCTCATTTGAGGCCATCGACTAGATCGTAGATGAGACCCGCCTTCAGGCCCAGAAACGCGACTCGTGTCAGCTCAGCTGTCACCTCATCAGGCCGCGCTTTGCGCGACACGGCAAATTTTTCTTCGGCGTGCGCTGCGTTACTGACGTGGCAATCGCTTCAATTTCTGCGGTGTGCGCTGCGTTACTGACGTGGCAATCACCACCCCCCTGATGTGTGCGCTTCGTCAACTGACGTGGCAATCACTTCTCGCTGACGCCGTGCCAGTGCCGTATATGAGACAGTCGCTGGGTTCACTTTTTTCGGAGACGAAATCAAGGTTCCGATTTAGCCCTCTGTTTTTATCGCCCTCCCGAGCCCGAACCTTAACGCCGCTGGAGGACGGGGATTGGATTTCAGGCATTGAACGTGCGTAGGATCGTGAGTGCAGTCCGAGCTTGATCCGCCAGAGTCTGTCATGCAGTTGCTTTGATTGGTTCGAGCCATCGTTTGATTCGTGCTTCCTTTCGTTCGTCGCCCGCCATGTCCTCCATTTACGAGGTCGGAAGGGCACCCCTCGGTTCTGTCGTAAAGCGTAGTGCACGCTTCCGGCCAGGTGATCCGCGCCGGCTCCGTGCGCGTGGATGGGGCAGCCGACCTGCTCGAAGAGTGCCAGAAGAAAGGCCGGGTTTCGTTCGAGTTCGGAATGGATCCGTAGGAATTTCTCGTGCAGGTTCGGTGCACTACGGTGACGGGTATCACCTCAATTCCCGGTCACTGCCTGACTTGTTCGCACACCTCGCCCCATACCTGCAGGACTGATTCCGAGTCTCTTTTTTTTTTTTTTTTTTCTCGTTTTTGCTTCCCCGACAGGATGCTGCAGTGATTACCTCCGACTCGTGCCTCTGTTACGCGGAGAACAACATCCAGGACCTTTGAACCTGGTATTCGCGTGTAGGGTTGTCGGATGATTTCGCCTGTCAGGACAAGCAGGGCAGCATCGCAAAGACGATGCTTGCTCCTGCGCATGTCGAGCCGCAATGGGGCTTGGGTCTTAGGGGCATCGTCGAGGGCTTGGAGGCGGTGACCCTCCAGCCAGCCCCGGGGCGCGGGACGCTGGTGGTCGTTTGTTCAGGCTGGAGCGGTTATCTTGTCTTGTGTGCGAGCTCGTCCGATATCCGATCCCGGCAACGACCTATACAGCCACCGGTGGCAGTGGTGGTGGCAGGTCAGGGACGCCATGAATGACCTGGCCAAGGCACCGACATGCGGCATGGATCGTGTCATCTGAATTCGTGTACGCATGCCCCGCAGATTGCCGTCGAGCACGGGCTGAAGCTCCTCATCCTCGACATTTGTCCCAATGTGGACATCCAGAAGGTCTGGCTCCTTTTCGAGTTGCTTGTTGCAGTTAGCTTGACTTCGTCGCCAGGCGAGCCGGGAGGAGGAGGAGTGGCGTTGAGCTTCGGGCCAAAGTAGCCGAAGCGTCGGGATATAAGCACGGCGGGTGCTTGATCTGCGAGAGTCGGTCGTGCAGTTCGGTGGTGCTAGATCGGTTCCATTGCTTGATTTGCATTCGCCTTTGCTTCGGTTGTCGGCATGGCCTCCATCTATGAGCTTGACCGCTGTGTGTGTTCCGCAGGCTGGGATCATGTCGTTCTCTAGTTTGCGTCCTTCCGGAAAGCCTGCGAGCATCCATGGAAGCGATTCCGAGTCGGAGCCCCCCGATTCGGAAGCCTCCGGCGCTGCGGCCGCTGCTGACGCTGGCGGCTTTGCAGTATCTGGCGCGATCCCCGTGGCCTCGGTCGACCGCTCCCTCGATGCAGCCACCTTGGAGGACTGCGCCGATGAGGCGCCGGAAACGGTCGAGGTGGCGCCGACGAGCTCTTCGGCCCCTGGCGATGCCGGAGCTCCTGCCGGCCGTCGTCGGCGCGTCCATGGTGGCATCTGGGGGCAGCATTCGGGATATGGCATCTGTGGTGGTTTGAACCAGCTGCCGTGTTGTTTCGGTGACGATGGCGGCCCTGCCAACGCTGCTGCGTGTGGCCGGTGTGATCTGTGCAGCGGCGATGCTCTGAGGCTGCTTCACAATGACATGCCGCAGCGCATCACGCACCTGCTGTGCGAGCTGGACGGCAAGCCTCTGGCGCATGCGTGTTGGGCGGTCCTGCACGGCGAGACTACGCAGAACGACGACGGCGAGCACTGCATCGTCGCGATCCGGCTCGACCTAGGAGACTGCCACGCCGACTGACGGGGCCGGGCACGTACCGGGTGTAACGTAGCAGGATGCCGACGTATCAGGAAACATATCCACCGTCTCGAGCCAGCCCAGCTGTTGTGTGGTCGGGATCCTCTTCTTGCACATATGTTGTCTACGATTGCAGCATCTCAGTGTCAAGTATCGTGCCCTGGTATCTTCTAGCCGATCGTTCTGCAACATGTCCGATGCCCTCTTCGCCGATGCCGAGAACGCTGCCCCGGCTCCCTCGGAGTCGGCCGGCCCTCGCAGGACCAAGCTGTTCCCCTGGGACAGCGTCGCTGCGCAGCTGCTGGAGCCCTATGGAGAAAGCGCTCTGGACAGCATGTCCCTCAAGCAAGTCTACGATGCAGCTTCGAGGGGCAACAAGACCGCAGCCTACCACTCCCATCTCTGTGCGGACCAAGCCTCGGATGCCTGGCGCGTGGGAGCAGGCGTGTCGATGACTGCGGCGGCCCTGCTCGCCGCTTTTCGTCACATCGAGATGGCGGACATCGGCAAGCTCATCATGCCGGAGTTGCTCGCCAAGGTCAAGATCGAGATTGACGACCTGACCCCGCACCTGCGTATCCTTGACATGGGCAAGGGCTCGCAGAGCCAGAAGGACACGGGCAGCTTCCGGGCGGCTAAGCGGATGCGGACGACTGGCAGCGGCACGAACGTGGAGCCCGTCACGGAAGCAGATCTCCGTGCGAGTGCCAAGGCAATGCACGCATGGCTTCGACGTGACAAGACCCCGCTTCGCTCTCTGCTCTTCCTCCTCGGCGGCGGCAACACGTACTACACCGCTCACACCGCGGAGGTGGTGGCTCGTGCCTGCATCCGACACAAGCCGATCGCCGAGGAGCAGTTCGTCGAGGCCGTCGTCACCCGCAGCAAGAGCAAAGAAGTCGTCCCGGAGACCAAGAGCGCCGGCTCCGATGCCACCGGTCTCTTCGACTAGCTCTGGGCGCTGAACAGCTGCGCCGGGTAGTAGCACGCCTGTGAGGTGAGCTGCGCCGAATGATATGATGATGGAAGAAAAATAGGGTCCGGGTTCTTGCAGCGAGTGGTCGTGCCACGTCGTTGACACGAGGACAGCAACGCCTGCCGTTGGCGCCGCAGTCTTTGCAGGATAGCTTTCGGTAGTCTGTCTCCGCGGTAGGTTGCCTTGCCATGGCGTCTCCCGTGGGCATGATCAACTTGGGGGCTTCGTGCTACATCAATGCCGGGTTGCAGGCCATGTTTGCGGTCCCGGAGATTTGCCGAGTCGTTCGGGACGCGGTCGACGACGAGCTCGCCTGTCGACTGGCTCGGGTCCTGGAGGCTTGTGTGCCGGAGGATGGGCCGATGGTTCCTCGTCCCATCACCGACGTCTTCTACAACGGACGACAGGAGGATGCCATGGGCTTCGTCGAGCAGCTGCTGTGGTCGTGTGGGGAGTTGTCTGCGTGCGTGAGAGGAGCCGAGCATCCTCGCCTGCGCTGTCGTCATTGCGGCTGGGAACGACCGACGGCCAGGTCGAACTTTCAGTGCCTCCAGTTGGCCATGCCGTCGGCCGAGTACATGCCTGGCACCACACAGGACCTGCTCGACCTGCATCTCAATCAGCCGACGGCCTTGGACGTCCGGGTGGAGGACTGGTGCTGTTTGCGGGAAGCTTGTTTGGATGCCGGTCGTCATGACGATCCGCCTCTGCACGTGAACTACGTGGAGGCTTGGCCGCGGGTGCTGCTGCTCCAGCTGAAGCGCTGGGACGAGTTCGGCCGGGCCCGACGTGATCTGGTGCGCTGCAGCCATCGCCTCGAGGCGGGCGATCGAGTCTACGAGCTCGTGGCGGCGGTCTCCCACATCGGCGAGCACGCGGAGTCCGGCCACTACATCGCCTACGTGCGCGGAGGAGATCGATGGTACGTGGCCAACGACTCCAGCGTCGACGAGATCACGCCGTGCGACATGTTCCGGACCTACCCCGACGAGAAGTCTTACATGGCCTTCTACGTGGCGATGGTTGCGGTGCCCCCGGAGGAGCCGCCCGTGACTGTTTGCTCGCAGAGCGACGAGGGGGAGGACACGGACTAGGACGTCCTCGTGGAGACCGATGCTGTCGAGGGCACGGGCGGCATCGGCGTCAAGCGCAAACGCCAGGAGGAGAGCGAGACGGGCGACGGCGGCGGCGGCTTTCGCAGGAGGTTGTCCAGCGGATGCAGTATGGCAGGCGGGCCCATCGATTTGGATGCTCACACGGGAAGCGAAGAAGGGCTCTCGAAGACCACGGAGAACAGTCAACAGCGGTCCGATGACGGGTCGGATGCCACCGAGGCCGCCGAGCGACGCGCCAGCTTCGTGCAGAACAACACGCAGGAGGAGCGCGAGGAGATCGCGCGGGTGTTGCGGGGCAGCCTCAGCCTGGCCGCCGCGATGGAGACCTTGTCCAAGACCGTGCCGAAAGTGGACACGAAGAACGCGGCGGCGCCGGCCTACCTGAGCCGGTTCACTCTACGAAAGTGGTTCGAGCATCCGGAGCGTCTGATGAGGACTCTGGCTCGTGCGCGCGTCCCGCCATCGCCCGGCTCCGGGCGTCGCCGTGCGGCTCCGGAGGGAAGCGTCCGCAGACAGCTGTCGGAGGAGAGTCGAGACATCATCGGGCGTGCCGCGGACAGCTCCGCATCCCTGACCGAGTTCGCGCAGAACCTAGCCATCAGCTTGCCCGGGTTCAGTCAGACCGACGAGAACGCTGCCATGTACGTGCCTCGCACCACTGTGAGGAACTGGTTCTTTCGGAAGACGGTGAAGTCGTGGTTCCAGGAGTCCGACGAGGACGAGACGTGGGAGAAGGAGAGGGAGAACGTGTTCGGCGTCCTTTCGGAGAAGCCCGGCAAGCGGAAGCTTCCGCAGATGGCCTCGACGGACTCCGACGGGACGTGGCTGCGGCGAAGGTCCTGGACATACTGCTCGGCATGTGGGCGGCGGCGGCCACGCACGGAGGTGCATGGCCAGCACGCGAACGTGGATGCCGTGGCCTGTGCCCCGGCCTGCGACGTGGACGCCTGGGATCTGCTGGATCCTCCTCGCACTGCTCCGAAAACCGGAAAGCTATTCGCCTACGTCACGCCCGTGGTCGATCATTGGCGGGCGCTGTGCGATGCCGTCGACGGCGGCCAGCTGCCTCTGCGCCTGAATCGATGGGAGCTCGAGGACCTCGCCGTTGCCGACATCAAGGTGGATTACCGGTCCCGCGCGGGTGGCAAGTCGGACGTCTACAGCAAGCAGAAGCGATCCGTGGTTCGGTGTCTCTGGCGAGCTCGGTGCTTGTATGATCTTCCTCGAGGCGAGGCGGCGGACGCGGTCTTTCGCTGGCTGATGGAGAACAACAGCACGTATCGTGCGTTCGTGGAATCCCACACGCGCCTGGTTCGGGACAACGCCGGGAAGGCTGGCGACTGGCGCGAGGTGCCCACGGCAGAGCTCCTCCTGTCGAGGCCGGGCATGGAAGTCGCCGTGCGACCCTGGCTCTACCCCCTGGCCAGCATGGCCGACACGGACGCGCGCGAGCGTCTCGGTGCGCTGGGGTGGCTGAAGCCCGGCAGCAAGCCCAGTATTAGGACGTCGATGATGCGAAAGATCACAAGCCGCTGCCTGGATTACGCCCGGGACTTTCCCCTGCAGTGCCTGATATACGACACGTGCATGGCTCGAACGATCTCCTCCGTCGTCAACATTGCAGAGTCGAAGAAGGTGTCTCCCGAACAGATCGCATCCGACATGGACACCTTTCAGGTGTACTGGCAGCAGCAGGTGGAGAAGATGGAGGACATCTGTCGGCAGGAGGCCGGGGCCAGCGGACGTGTCGAGGATGGGTTGCCGACGGTGTTCTTCACCATCTCGCCGGCCGAGTGGAGGTACGTGTTGCACGAGGGCATGTTTCCCGAAGGCGACCTCAGCGACCAGCAGAGCCTGCTGACCTTGCATCTGTACCACACGCTCGAGGCCATGCTGGGACTGCACCTCTTCAAGGAAGGTGTCAGCCTGGCTCGGGTCGGCATTGCGAAAGTCCGGCAGTGGTCCCTGCGTTACGAGTTTCAGTCACGAGGCACTCTACACGTGCACTGTCTGCTGTGGGCGGACTTGCTTCCTGGCTGGACGGCGGAGAACGTCACTGCGAGGACGGGTGGCAAGGAGAGGTCGGCGTTCTTGATCCTGCTGGAGGAGCTGTTTCGCTCTCGAGCCGACGTACAGTGTGGCGACGGTCATCACCTCTTGCTCCAATACGTGGCCGGGTACGTCAGCAAGGCCTCCGATGCGCTGACCTTCAGGTCGAAGCAGGCGCAACATGACGGCGACGGATCTCGTTGGCGCCAGGTGTATCGACTGCTCTGCAAGAAGTCGCCGCTGGAGCAGGAGATGGTCATGGAGATGGCCGGCCTGTCGATGGCAAAGCATTCCTTCACGGGCGTGTCGTTGTTCCCTCCGATACCTGGCAGCAAAGCCGTCAACGAGTCCCGGGCGCACTACAACGCCTTCCAGCAGTTCCTGCACCGTGGCGCGGTCGTGGACGGGGCCGCCACCAGCATGTCTTACATGCAGTGGCTCCGCATGTTTCGCGTGGTGACGACGGATGGGAAGTCTGTGGTTCGACCCAGGAACGTGGCCGGACCGGGTCGAAACAAGAGCTGTGGCATAGGAATTCGCTTTCCCTTCGAGCTGCTGGACATCTTCGTGGGCGCCTGGGCGGCGTGCTTCCTCGAGAACATGCTCGAAGCTCGCCTGCGGCCGAGCACGGAGGAGGACGATGCTTACCCGGCCGGCTTCGACTTCGAGAAAGCTCGCAGGCGCCTCTTTCGAGCTCCCGAGGGTTGCGAGCACCTCAAGGCCGTGCTCTGTCTCGACGAGTTCCAACGTCGGGGGGCTCCGCCCGGAACGTTCGCCCCGGACACGGGCAGGCTGATAGCCGCCATCGAGGGCGACCTGATGTTGCGTGGGCTCAGCGTGGATCGCATCGTCACCTTCAAGGCGAGAATCAACGCATGCTCCCTGCTGCTGCAGGGCATCCGGGACGGCCGGCAGGATCCGTCGATTTGGTCCGCTAGACGCCCGGCCGGGCTCCCGCAGAGGCAGTGGTCGCCCGAGCAGGCGCAGGTTCTGGGCTGCATCAGGGAGGGCCTGCGTGTAGGCGATGCCGGTGTCATGGCAGACTCCAGACGAGTCCTGCGCGTTACCGGCGGGCCGGGCACGGGCAAGACGGAGGTGGTCATCGGAGCGGTTCAGGCGGCGCTCGAGGACGGTTGCCGGGTACTGGTGGCTGGACCGATCGGCCTGCTCATGTCCATGTACAAGCTGCGGCTGCCTCCCAACGAGAATCTGGTCATGGAGACGATCCACGCAGCCTTCAAGGTCGTGCGGGATGCGGACGCACAGTACATTCCTCCGGGAAGGCTGCGAACTTTCGACCTTATCATCCTGGACGAGGTCAGTCAGATCGATGCAGCGGTGTGGAACTGTCTCAAGATCGCCTTGGGGGAGCTGAGGCCGTTGCCGTTCATCGTCTTCGTCGGGGATTTCCAGCAGCTGCAGCCTATAGTGGGGCGACCGCTGCTGCAGCAGAACCTGGAGCAGCAGGTTCGGGATGGCACCGTCTTCGCGGTGGAGCTGCGACAGCACGAAGCCGCCCGTTCTGCCGATCCCGTGATGCTCGACTTCCTGCAGCGAGCCAGAGTCCGCCAGCCGAGCAGGGACGCCCTTGGAAGGTTTTTCGCGGGCAGGATCTGGCCGTCGGACCTCAACCTGGCGACCGCCAAGGCCAAGGAGCTGGAGGCCTCCGAAGGCGGCAGCTTCACCTTCCTCACCGTGACGAATAAGGGAGCCCAGGACATTAACATGGCGTGCCTGGCTCGTGATTACCCGGAACAGTACCGGGAACTGCGGAGCGGCGGTGGCGTGCCGGGCCAGACGGGGCACGTCGTCGTGTCGCCCGGCATGAGGCTGCGGCTGACGCACAACGTGGACAAAGACAGGGGCTTCGTCAACGGTGCCATGGGCGTGGTCCAGGAGGTTCTTCGGAAGGACGTCTTCGTCCTCATGACAGGGCAGCAGGTGCCCGTCTTGGTGCACCCCATCACGTACAAGGGCAATAAGTATTTGCCGGTTTCCTATGGCTGGGCGACCACCATTCGGCGGGTGCAGGGCGCCACACTGGACAAGGTCGTGCTGTACTTCAACCGGCATCTGGCGGATCGCGGCTACGCCTACGTGGGGGCTTCTCGTGCCAGGAGAGCCGTGGATGTGTATCTCATGGGGCGAATTCGGCGAACGGACTGGCTGGCTGTCAACTCCGACCAGGCCGACGAGCAGACGGTTCTCTCGGCGCTCAGCGATAGCTCCGCCTCCGACGACGACTACTTCCCGTCGGACCCGGAAGCGGACTCCTCCGACCCCGAGCCGGCCGACTCCGACTTCGATCCCTGCTCCGAATCTGAGTCGGAGTGAATCCGCACCGAGGGGTCAGTATGAGACGTGCGATCACGTCACGGACGAATTGTTCTATTGCATCGGATGTGCACCGACTGTCAGCTAAAGGGAACGGCACGGCAGGTAAAGCTTTAGGCAACGGAGTCCAAAGCAGTCGGACCGAGCATCTGGGTTTCACGGCGAGCTCGCCGCGGCCTAAAGTGTAGCGGCTGTGATCGAATCTGCAACGACAGCCGGCAGAAAACACGTCCTCCGCCGAGTGAGGGTTTAAGAGCGGGACTGGAAACGTAGCTGCCGGGGGATGAAGAGGATTAGATTATTTTCCTAATGGTGTGGGACCCAATGGGCGGGTGGGTATTCCCCTGTGGCCTTGAAAGCTGCTCAACTAGTGAATGCTCGAACTTGAGATGCTGAACCCTAAACCCTAAACCCTAAACCCAAGTTCTACGCCACCAGGAGAGCTCTGGGATGCTGGCGTTCGACGCGGTCTTCTTTTTCATCCTCTTCCTGCGCCCCCACCTCCAGCCCCAGTTTAGGGTTTAGGGTTTAGGGTTTAGGGTTAGGGTTTAGGGTTTAAGGTTTAGGGTTTAGGGTTTACACCCCCTCCCAACCCCTGAAACAGGATTTAGGGGGTGAGGGCTTAGGGTGCTTGAGGCTAAAGACTCGAAGGCCCTAAGGCTTCAACCCTCAAGATTTTCGCCTTGGGTTTCAGGGTTTTGGGGTTTATTCTGGTTTTGGGCAGATTGGCGCAAGGAATTTTAAAATCTAACACCAACACTAAGACCCAAGACCCCACACCCAAACCCCTTCGCCGGAGCCCTTGAGACCTCCAGCCGCGCATTCGTATGGCTTAGGGGTCTCGTTGCGGGTTGAGGTTAAGGGTTTAGGGTTGAGGGTTGAGGGTTGAGGGTTTAGGGTTTAGGGTTTAGGGTTGAGTGTTCAAGGCCAGCAAGTAAACCCTGCAGGTACTTGGACCAGGTTCTGCCCCGGGAGGCAGGGCAGGGTTTGGAGTTCATCACCTGGCTATTATAAACAGAATCTGCCAAGAACAGAATAGTTTAGTAGAAACATACTAAAGAATCAAATACAGCAATACTAAATACTTGGGCCCAGACTACCCCTTCTCCCTAAACCCCTAAACCCTAAGCCCTAAACCCGAAACCCTAGCCCTCATCTAGTCTTGATTCGGAATTTCGTGAAACCCTTAACACCACCCAGCCCTTGTCCCTACTTAAGACCACACATGGTCAGTTCTCTAGATCATGCTCCTTTCTCGGGTTACTGTTATAAGGCGGCCCCTCTTATTCAGGGTGCTCAAAAAGGGACCAGAATTCAGAGAACTGACCGACAACTGACCCAATGTCCTGAACCACTATACACCCTATCTAACGCCTAAGTCCACTGCTCCATCCCTATCCCTGAGGCCCTTCAACCCATCGGTCCCCTAAACCCTAAGCCTAAACCCTAAAACCCTAGAACCCGCAACCCTAAAGCCAGAAAGCCCCTAAGCCAGACCCAACTCAAGCAATAGCCTTGAACCTCGAAACTTTGAGCCCCGCAAGACCTCACGCGCGTCCGTACACCCCTACTGTAATGCAAACCTGCGCATCGGAGCCCTAAACCACGTAAGCCCTAACCCGAAACCCTCAAAGTCAATCCTGGAACTCTTAAGAACCCATACATCACAGGAAGCCTGACCTCGCCCTACTAAATCACGTTTGGGGTCCAGGGTTTGGGGTACGCCAAAAATCTTGGACCCCCTAAGCCAATCCTAATCTCCAAAACCCCCCACCTTCGAACCCCTAACTCTGGAACCCTCATTCCTTACACCCCCAAAGCCCAAAGAATCCCCTAGAACCCTGAACTTCTGACACCCTTAACACCCCGAAGACCCCTAAGCCCTGAACCCGAATCCCCGAACTCCTGAGTCCCTGAATCCTGAACCCTAAACGAGGGCGGCGCCTGAAATGCCCCCCCCCCCCCCCCCCCCCCAAACCCCCAAACCCTAAACCCCAAACCCTGAACCCTAAGCCCTAAACCCTAAACCCCTGAACCCCTCAACCCAAAACCCCTAAACTCCAAACCCTAAACCCTAAACCCTAAACCCCAAACCCCAAACCCTAAACCCTCCTTGCCTGCAGGTCGGGCTCCAGCGGCCCTTTTACTTCCCCCTCCTGCCCTCCTACTGGCGGGATCCTGGTCCGCCTTTTCTTGGAGTTTAGGGTTTAGGGTTTAGGGTTTAGGGTTTAGGGTTTAGGGTTTAGGGTTTAGGGTTTAGGGTTTAGGGTTTAGGGTTTAGGGTTTAGGGTTTAGGGTTTAGGGTTGTTGATTGTTTTCAGTGCCTTTAGTAGGGCGTTTGTGAGATTCAGTAGTGCCTTTCTTGTTTTTGGGTTGATTGTTTTCAGTGCTTTTAGTAGGGCTCTTATGGGGTTCAGTAGCTTTTTTTTCGGGTTTTTAGGGTCTTTAGTGTTTGTTTGGTGTTCCTTTTTTCATTTTTCCGGGTATTGTTTTTGTAGTTTTCCTTTTTTTTCGGGTTCGTAGGGTTTTAGCTTCGGGTGTCGGGTGTTTTAGGGCTTTCAGGGTTTTTGGGGGTTGTTCGGGTTTTAGAGGTTTAGGGGTTTGGCGGCTCGAGGGGCAGACGGTTTAAAAGGGTTTCGGCGAAATTTGGGGATTCAGGGGTCCTCAGGTTTACGGTTTAGGCTATAGAGTTTGGGGTTTAGGGTTTGGGGTATCTAGTTTCTGGGATGTTGGGGGGTTTTCGGGATTTTGGTGTTGAGGATCTTGGGGGGGGCTTAAGCCCGGCTATCTTTGGGATTGCGGCGGAGAAGTGATCTCCAGGTGGCATCCCTTGCTTCGAGGGCTGAGGGTTTAGGCTTGAACTGGACCCCCCCTTCAAACCCTAAATTCAATTCTTTCAATCCTAAAGCCCTAAAGCCCTAAAGCCCTAAAGCCCCAAACCCCAAACCCTGCAGTGCTTCGGGCAGCGCTTTATGGCGCCTGTGGCATCATAGAGGAATCGCGCCATCAGCGGGTCAGGCCACCGGGGCCTCGTGCCTGAACTGGTTGAACAACTTCGTGCTGTGGATGTGCTCGATCGCTGAGGATCCAGTCACATTGCTGAATTCCAAGGCATGTTGGATGGCCGGTCTGAGAGGAAGTGCTGACACCGCCCCTCGTTTCAAACGCCAACGATCACACCCTGACGGCGTCCCGGTGCCTCCTGCCTTGAGGGCATGAGGTGCTGGAAATTGAAGGCGACGACTCGCTGTGGCGAGCTTGCCCAGCACTGTGTCCTGCGAAGCAAACTCGGCACATTCTATTAAACCCTTAAGGGTTTAGGGTTTAGGGTTGGGGTTTAGGGTTTAGGGTTTAGGGTTTAGGGTTTAGGGATTAGGTGGGTCCTGATGCACTCAAGCATGGTGAAAATCCGCGAAAGCGGCGCCTTGCCTGTGGGGCTTCTTGCGTCCAGCGGTTCTGGGGTTGCCGTGAAGGGTTTAGGGGCTCTACAGGGAACCCTAAACCCTAAACCCTAAGCCCCTAAGCCCTAAGCCCTAAGCCCTAAGCCCTAAACCCTAAACCCTAAACCCTAAACCCTATTTTACAAGAGCCTGAACTTAACTCTAAGCCCCTTGGTCTGAATGGCACCCCTAAGCCCTCTAAGCCCCCTAAGCCCCCGAAGCACACAAGCGCCTTCTCTCCCCTCGCCCACGCGCACTCCACAAGCTGCCTAGGAGTGCGTCGGTAAGATGCCCCCACCTGCGGCATCGGCTGCACCCGAGGATGTTGCGGAGGCGGGCTACTAAACCCTAAACCCTAAACCCTAAACCCTAAACCCTAAACCCTAAACCCTAAACCCTAAACCCTAAACCCTAAACCCTAAACCCTAAACCCCAAACCCTAAACCCTAAACCCTAAACCCTAAATTCGAACCCCAGTTGGACAACGATCTAATTCTGGGCCTTGGTCGCACTCTGGGCTAAGGAATATACTATGTACAACAGAATGGCGCATAGTGGCCAGTCATTCAGATCCCCCAATTCAACCTGAGAGGGCCGCTTATTCTTGGCCCAAAGCTCCAAACATGGCTTAGGTCAGGGATTTAGGTTTGGATGTTCGTATACTAGCAGTCCTTGACAGGGAAGGTATATAAGGGGGAACATCCCAAGGTTTAGGGTTTGAGGACAAAAATTGGGCTTGGGGCTTAGGGGAACTGTTTTTCGTGTGCCCGAAGTTGACCTGGCGTCAAGCCTGCTACCCCTAAATCGTAACCCTGAAGCCCCACTCTTATGTTCTAAAGCCCTGAAACCCAGGCCCCACAGCCCGCAACCCTCTGACCCTCAGGCTCTTAAGCCCCAAAAATATAGAAACTAAACACCAAAGGCCCTTATGCTAAACCCAAAACTCTGAAACACCACAAAGCCCTAAACTGCTAAACGCCCCTGAAGCCCGCAAGCCCCTTGAAGCCCGTAAGACCCTAAACCCACCACACCCTAAATGCTAAACCCCATAAACCCAAAACCCCCAAACCCAAAACACTAGAGCCCTGCCAACCTCCCCAAGCAGCCACCTGCTCAGTCGTCTGCACTCGTCGAACAAGACGTTGGCGAGGCGCGGCATACGGCTTCGGTTGCTGAAAGAGGGGCCCTGAACCCTGGACCCAAAACCCAATACCCGAAAACCCTAAATCTTAAACCCTAAAGAATATGGGTTTGGCTTCAGGCAAAAAGCTTCGAGCTCTGTGGGTTCTCAGGAGCAAGTTCGCACATCCTTGAAGCCCGGCGCTTGAACGTGACAAACCTTGAGTCGATATATCTTGCCATCGACGAGGGATTATGCCTGACCCTAAGGAACCACACACAGCACCTGAACCTCAAAACCTAGACCCCGAACCCCGAACCCTAAACCCTAATCCCTAAACCCTACACCCTAAACCCTAAACCCTAAACCCTAGACCCTAGACCCCAAACCCTAGACCCCAAACCCTAAACCCCAAACCCCAAACCCCAAACCCCAAACCC